GCTATGTTTTAGAGAATTTCATACTTGAGTACCGTGTTTAAATTTCTACCCATCCTCCTGGAATTTTTTTTAAAGATTTTATTTACTTATTATATTTTTTTCCTTTTTTATTATATATACAACTTTCTGCCTCCATTTATACCCACACGCCAGAGGAGGGCGCCAGATCTCTCCACAGATGGTTTGGAGCCACCATGTGGTTGCTGGGAATTGAACTCAGGACCTCTGGAAGAACAGTCAGTGCTCTTAACCTCTGAGCCATCTCTCCAGCCCCCGCTCCTGGAATATTTTCAATTTGTGGTTGGTTGAATCTGTGTGTGAAAATCTCTATTTTATTTACAAACAAAATCTTTTCACTGAACTTAATTTAATCTTACCATTTTGAAAAGCACTACCAGTGACAAAATGGCAGCAATAACCATTTGGTTAGCATTTTTTTAAAAAAAATTATTTATTTACTTTTTTTAAAAGATTTATTTATTTATTATGTATACAACATTCCTTCCATGTATGTTTGTATGCCAGAAGAGGGCACCAGATCTCATTATAGATGGTTGTGAGCCACCATGTGGTTGCTGGGAATTGAACTCAGGACCTTTGGAGGAGCAGGCAATGGTCTTAACCACTGAGCCATCTCTCCAGCCCCCTATTTATTTACTTTTTATGTATACAATATTCTGCCTGTGTGTATGTCTGTAGGCCAGAAGAGGGCACCAGACCCCATTACAGATGGTTGTGAGCCACCATGTGGTTGCCAGGAACTGAACTCAGGACCTTTGGAAGAGTAGGCAATGCTCTTAACCACTGAGCCATCTCTCCAGCCCCCATTTGGTTAGCATTTGAGGCTGACCAGAAAACATATTTCATAAAAAGTATTTCTTTTTTTCTTTTTGGTTTTTCGAGATAGGGTTTCTCTGTGGCTTTGGAGCCTGTCCTGGAACTAGCTCTGTAGACCAGGCTGGTCTCGAACTCACAGAGATCTGCCTGCCTCTGCCTCCCGAGTGCTGGGATTAAAGGTGTGCGCCACCACCGCCCGGCCTATAAAAAGTATTTCATATGAAATAATTATTAGAAATGCCTTTCAAGAACAAAGGGAATGGCTCAGTGATAGAGCACTTGCTTAGAAATATGTTTGGAGTTAGTTCTCCTGTTTAATAATGGTTAGGGCCTTTGTATAGTCCATGATAGGCTAAGTATGAGAGTGAGGGACCTGCCCACTGAAGCCATTCTGGACAGCAGACGCCTCAGCTCAGTATGTCCACTATCAGCAGAAGGAAGAGTCCGTGGTCAAATGTGTCCTGACTCTTAAACAGCTCTGCCTGACAGGACAAACAGCACTTCTAACTTTTCCCTTGCCAGAGTGATCACATGGCCATGCCTAACTTAGGTGAAATCTTTGCCATATCTTTGATTTCAGCATTCAGGAGGCAGGGGCTTAAACACTGCATATATATTTAAACATTCATTTATATTTGTGTGGGGGGAGTAGGCGTGTGCAGAAGTCCAAGAACAACATGGGAATCAGTCCTCTGCTCCCACCATGTTGGTCCTGGGGTGCAAACTCAGGTCATCAGACTGGTCGCAAGCATCCTTACCAACTGAGACATTTCATTGGCCCTCAGAGGTATTTGTACACTCATGTTCTTAGCAACATTATCCACAATAGCCACAATTTCCACACAACCAAAGTGTCCACTGATGGAGCAATGGATAAAGGAAATGTGGCATACAAGCAATAGATTATTATTCAGCCTTAAAAAGGGAGTTTTGAGCTGGGCAGTGGTGGCACACACCTTTAATCCCATCACTTGGGAGGCAGAGGCAGGTGGATCTTTGTGTGTTCGAGGCCAACCTGGTCTATAAGAGCTAATTCCAGGACAGGCTCCAAAGCTACAGAAAAACCCTGTCTCGACAAAAAATAAAAGGGAATTTTGACACACTATGATCTGAAACTTAATACATTATGCTAAGTACAATAAACCTGGCACAGTAGGACAAATATTTGTATAATTTACTTTCGTGGAGTACTCAAAATACTCAAACTTACAGAGAGAAAATCAAATGGTGGTTTCAAGGGACTGGAGAGAGAAGATGAATGGGTTAGTGTTAATAGGCACAGAGGTTCTGCGAAGGAAGGTAAGAATACCCTTGAGTAGATGGTGGTGGTGTTTGTACAACATTGAAAATGAACTTGATAGCACAGAACTGCATACTTAAAGATGGCTAAAATGATCCATTTTCTCTCATATTTTGTTTTGGGACTGTTTCCTCTGAATTGAAAAATGATTCCCTGGCAGGAATGGGGAGCTCACAAGAAAAAGAATCCCACAAGGGGCTGGAGAGATGGCTCAGCATCTCAGGATGGGGCATTTATTTCCAGTATCCACGTGGTGGCTCACAAACATCTGCAAATTCCAGTTTCAGGGAACATGATGTCTTCCTCTTTGGCTTCCACCAGCACTCTATACACGTGGTGCACAGACATACACAGGTAAACATTCATACATATAGAAAATTAAAACAGAAGAAATCCACAAGACTCAAGAGACCCCTCCCCAAGGTTATTTATTTATTTAACAGAGGGTCTAATATATCCCAGGTTATCCTACAACTTCTTACCCTACTGCCTCCTCCTGAGTGCTGGTATTACAGGGATAAACCACTATGCCCATTTACATAGTGCTGGGTTCGATGAAACACAGGGCCTTATGCGTGTTAGTAAGCACTCTACCAACTGAGCTACATCCCCAGCACCTCCCAACCCGAGGTAATTTAGGTGGGAAACAACTGCTGGGGTGGAGAAACCATTTAGATGTAGCTGCCTGCAAGCTGGACCACCTTGATGCCAATTTTATAAGTCATTGCTCATATGAGGGAAGGCTTTTTAGTAGTGCAGCAGCCCAAGAGTCACCTCTGTTCCTTTAAGTAAGAAACCTATGGACTCACCAAGCTGGACATAGATGGATTTTTTTTTCTTTGCTCTGTCTGGGGTGAATAGCAGTCTTTCCAGCTGTGAGTGATGAATATTTCTCTAGAAGGAGATAAAATCCACACTATCAACAGAAAGTGTGTGTACTTTCCTCCTTTTCAGCAACAGGTGGTTTAAATGTATACTGGCTACGATGATCTCCTTCATCAACTAGTAAAGGAATGTGTTAGACACTGTCACACTGGTGACTAGGTTTCAATTTAGGCTAAGTGTGGTAGAGCATGCTGCACTGGCACTCCAAGACGGACAGGTGGATCTCTAAATTCAAGGTCAGCCTGCCTTAGAATTCCAGACTAGCCTGAGTTACTCCTGTGTCACAAACAAACAAACAAAATAATAGCAACAACAAAAAAGGTCCAATATAGGAATTTGGGGAGAATTCAAACATTCAGACCCTAGTGAATGAAAAGTGACTTTCTGATCATTTATAGAAAACCTGTTTCACAATATTCTCTATCTCAGTAAATGCCAATCCCAAGCTTCTGATCGTGCCATGTCATCTTAGACTCCTCTTACAATGGACATCTAATCACGTATGACAGGGCTCTAAAGAATCACAAATATGACCTTTTTGTTTGTTTGTTTGCTTGTTTTTTGAGACAGGGTTTCTCTGTGTAGCCCTGTTGTTCTGGAACTCTTTAGACCAGGCTGACCATGAACTTAAATTCACAGAGATCTGCCTGCCTCTGCCTCCCAGTGCTGAGGATTAAGGGCATGCACCAACCCCATCCAGCTTCTGATTGCGTTTTATTCTGCCATGGTAACACCATCTCCTGGATTTTGGCAGTAGGAATTGTTGTTCTCTATTTGTTTTTATCCATCTTGAGAGCAGCCAGAACATTTACAACCATGAGACCTGTGCTATCACATTGAGATTAAAGGCATGCGCCATCATTGCCCAGCTCTTCTTGCTTTTTAAAAACTGTTTTTAGGGTTTTTTTTTTAATTTTTCGAGACAGGGTTTCTCCGTAGCTTTTGTTTTTAGTTTTAATTTTTAAAATTTTATTAGTTTATGCGTATGGGTGCTTTGCCTGCATGTATGTTTGTGCGCCACATTCGTGCAGTGGTCAGAAGAGGGCGTTGGATCCCTTGGAACTGAAGTTAGCTGGCTGTGAGCCACCTTGTGAGTGCTGGGAATTGAACTCAAGTCTTCTCGAAAAGCGGTAAGTGCTAGTAACCAGCGAGTTGTCCCTCTAAGGGTTTCTACATAGCTCTGGCAGTCTAGGACCTCACTATGTCGACCAGGCTGGCCTCGAACAATCCATCCGTCTCTGCCTCCAGAGCGCTGGAATGAAAAGGGGGTGCACCACCACGCATGGCTCCCTCTTCGTATTTTTTTTTTAAGCTACAACTTTTGGCTTCCTTAGGATAACTGTTCTTCTATTTCATGAAACATTGTACTGTGAAATCTTCATGCATACAATAAATTGTCACCTCTGTATTTCTCGATCGTAAATTCCATCAGGTTTGAACAGACGCTCAGTTTTCACTGTTGACAAAATCCTTTTGAGCCTCAGCAACCCCAAGAAATGTGCTTGCAAAGAACGAACTACTCAGAGGAGGTGCCTCTCCCGACCGCCGAGCACAGTATCGCGGCTGTCCTGGTGTCTCCCGCCAGGCCTAGCCTTACGGCAGACACGCTTCCACAACACTCGGGTCTGGCCGAGGCTGCTGGAAAGCAGGAGCCCTGCCTTCCCCCAGAGAACAAAGTTTTCCTCGGGGCCCTTCCGGCTCGCCACACCCCGGCCAGAGGCCGCTCTGCGGACTAGGCCTCTGCCGACTCAGCCGGAGCGCGCTCCCTCGCCGCCAGCCTTCCTTTCCCCTCCCCCCGGCGCGGCGGCGGCAGTTGGTCGCGCGCCTCCGTGCCTTTTCCACCCCAGCGAGAACCAGCGGGCTCCAGGCCCTCTGGGATTGGCTGCGTCAAAGGGCATCTTCTCTCAACCTCTTTGATTGGCTGCTGTAGGCGCGGGATGCAGTCTCCAATTGGCTAGGTTAGAGCGCCTGCGCGGCGGGGTTCTCGGTCGCCAGCCATTCCTGAGGAGGACTGCGGGTCGTTCGGACGTTTTGCCTGTCGCTGTAGGAGGGCTCCCGTCTCTCCGGGAAGGCGGCTGCGGCGTCAAGATGAAGATCTTTGTGGGCAATGTCGACGGGGCGGATACGACGCCGGAGGAGCTGGCAGCCCTCTTCGCGCCCTACGGCACGGTCATGAGCTGCGCCGTCATGAAACAGTTTGCCTTCGTGCACATGCGCGAGAACGCTGGCGCGGTGCGCGCCATCGAGGCCCTTCATGGCCACGAGCTGCGTCCAGGTCGCGCGCTCGTGGTGGAGATGTCGCGCCCAAGGCCCTTGAACACTTGGAAGATTTTCGTGGGCAATGTGTCGGCTGCATGCACAAGCCAGGAATTGCGCAGCCTCTTCGAGCGCCGTGGACGCGTCATCGAGTGTGACGTGGTTAAAGGTAACGCGGGAGCGCGCTTGGGGAGGGGACGCGCGCGGTGCACTCAGCCTATTAGCCACGCCCCTTACCCTGGGGGGGGGGGTTGGTCCTTGCGGTTGGGAATGGTGGGGAAGTGCCTGGGAGCGGGGCCTAAGGTGTTGGGGGCGAGTTGGGTACCGCCACCCTCCCCTGCGGTCCAGGCAACTACATTCATCAAGTGGGAGGAGTCGGCTCTGGGCGGGTGCAGTGGCCACTGCTAGGCGAAGCCGCGGGCCTGGGGTCGCGCCAGAGACTTGCGAGTGTATCGGGTTGGGGCGGGGGTGCATTTTCCTGGTTGCAAGGACTTGGTACCAAACTGAAATTGGGAAGTGACGGGCACCAGCCGGACCATGGAGCGGGGAAGATTTCGCCACTTTCCCACTTCCTCTCCACACATCGGTCAGATCCCGGGAAGAGGGAAAAAGTGGGGGCTAAAGCCCCAAGGCCTCCCCGGGGTTTCCTCCTTACGAATGTTCCCAAGCGGAAGGTAATGGGGCCCTTGGTCGTTTCTCGGGTTGCAGTCTTTATTAGTATTCTGTCATGGATCTGCTTTTGGGTACCAGAGGGGCCTTTTCCAAACCCATTTGGCTTTTCAATATTTGGTGGGTTATCCTTGATAGTTTTGTGCTTTCCAACTCTCGGGGCCCCCCCCCCACTTTGTGTTCAGTCTTACATCTTACCAGCTGGAAGCCCTGATTTTATTTTTGCATGTGGAAGGGGGCTTTTGTTATGAGGCCTCCCCCAGGTAGTTTTTACTTGCCAAGTTGGTGCCGCAGGGCCCAGCTGTTTTATAAGCTTTGAGATTGCAAAGGGGTATGCTCTGGCTTTGCGGGATGTTGAGAGGCGGGCGTGGTGTCTGTTAAACTTGGGCTAAACACCATTCACTCAGTAGTCGTGCTTGAATAATTCTTAGGACAGCTCCCTAGTTTCGTTTCTTTGAGGAAATGTCTTTTTTGAGACCCTGTTGACTTTCTTAGCCTGGGGTCTTATCGCTTGTCTCCTAAATGCTATTCTTTTTTGTTGGCAAGATTTTAAGGGACAACCCAGACCGGTGTCTGTTTCACTGGTCAGAGCTAACTTTGCCCTGTCATTTTCAACAATGCCACCTGGGAGTGATGTCCTACTCATGCCTTACTTCTGTTGGATTCCTATCTGCTCGTGCCCTATGGGAATGATGAGGACAGGAATAACTGCGGTGGTAGTGCTTGCTCATTCTCATCAAATAGTTCATTTGCTATCCAGGAAAGTAACAACTTTTGGGCCATTGTTGTCTTTTCTATAATGGGGGGTGTTTAAAGGGTCATAGGGTGTGCATTACCAGGAACAAAATGTTCTGCATTGATACTGATTCTGTTTTCCTCAACTCAGGTTATATCTGGAATGATACTTTCCTGCAGTCTTTAAGCATACTGTGGTGCATGGATTTTTGCTTCTGTTTAAAGTAAAAGTGGGAAAGGTCTCAGTTTGGGTACTTGACCAACAAAAGGATGGGATATATGAGTTTTTATGAGAGTTTTGTGTTTAATTGACCTATCTAGTTTCTTTTGTGGTTCTTAGGTAGGCTGGCTACCAGAGTGGAAATCTAGAATCCAGTACCTCAGGGTACAGTCTCTCCGTTGGAATTCATATGGATCAATAAACTTTTTTCTCAGGTGGTAGGCCAGAAATTTGCCTGGCTTAGTTTGGGACTGACATTAAGTAGAAGTGAGGGTGGTGGTTGATAATAACTTTACATACACTGTACAGCTCTAGGCAGATTCCCTGGGAGAGTTACAAAGTTTGTGCATTCTTCCTTTTAGAAACAAATATAGCAAAATTACACTCTAGACTGATATGACCCAGTCTCTACTTTGATATGAAAGATTTGGTGACGATCTGAAACATACTTCCACTGATGATGTTCTCTTTGGGAATGAAAGCATTTTAAAATTGGGAGTGTACTAGAAGAAACTGGCTCTGCAAAATACCTTTCTCATTTTTGGGAGGGGAGGCTGAGGATAGGCATTTGGTTGAATTGTCAAATCTTTGAAAAGTGCAAAAGCTTTATCTTACACAGAATGGCCAGCTGTTTTATTTTACAGGAAAAAAGCATAGTTGCTTGGTTAATTGAGCTTAGGTCTGACTTGTAACAAACAATAACTATTCTCCACAGCTATTAGCAGCTGTGCACTGTTGGAGTCAAAGATGGACAGTTTCAGGTCTGAATATCAGAAAAGAAAGATTTTTTTTTTTTGGTCGGCCATTCTTTCTCTATACAACTTTGTAAACTTAAAAGTATTTAGTCTTTGGGAAAACTCAGTTTCTAGTATTCTTTTAGCTTTGGTGCTAGAGAGATTGTGGTGCCATCATAGAAGGTCCTGAAAACATAACTTGTTAATCATATCTCCTCTGTCCCTGCTCGGACAGGGTTTCTCTGTATAGCTCTGGCTGTCCTGGAACTTGCTCTGTAGACCAGGCTGACTCCCATACTCAGAAATCTGTCTGTCTCTGTCTCCCAAGTGCTGGGATTAAAGGTGTGCACCACCATCTGCTAATCTTAGGCTGTGATTTCTATCAGTAGTTTCTTTGAAAGTAGTTCAGCAGGCAAGAGGTCTTTGGAGTTTTTCAGATTTCTTTGTTGCCCTAGTAGTAGTTGGTTTCTGAGTGTTTTTGACAGGTCTGACTCTGGCTACTTACTGCGATTTAGCCCATTTCTAGGTAACAGATTCCCTGGGCTTCTACTAACTGAGGTACATCTTCACCCCTCCCCCCACCTTTAGGTCTATTTTATTTTATGTTTATGAGAGCCTGCATTTATGTATGTGCACTACTTATGTGCCTGATGCCCACAGGGGTCAGAAGAGGTTGTCTGATCCCCTGGAATTGGAGTTAGGGATGGTTGTGAGCCACAATTTGAGTGCTGCGAACTTATTATACAAGAGCCGCAGGTCTTGTAGAGAATTCAAGAAGCCATTTCTCCAGTCCCTGTCCCCCCTTTTGAGACAATGTTTTATGCAGCCCAAGCTGGTTTTGAATTTGCTGAGTAGCTACAGTCCTGATTGGAATTGCCTCTATCTCCTAGGAGCTGCTATCATACGTATGTGCTGTGATGCCCAGTTCACACGTTTTTCTTTTCTTTTTTTTTTAAATATTTATTTATTTATTATATTATGTGTATAGCATTCCTTCCACATGTGCCTGCAAGCCAGAAGGGGGGGGGGCGCCAGGTCTCATTATAGATGGCTGTAAGCCACTATGTGGTTGCTGGGAATTGAACTCAGTACCTCTGGAAGAGCAGTCAGTGCTCTTAACCTCTGAGCCATCTCTCCAGCCCCACGTTTTTCTACTATTAGGCTTGGACATTTTCTTATAAAAGTTGACTATATTTGTGTCAGAGACCTTCTTCCCTCGTTATTGCTTAATTAATTGGGCAGTCGTTTGAATTATTCATTTGAAAGTACTGTTCTTTTTCCATCCTCCCCTTTTCTGTCCCTCCCCCCCCCCAAGGCGTAAGTCATGAACAATGCCACACCAGTTTGGAGTTATGATTAATAGGATGTTATTTATTTAAAGGGGAAAAAACTTACATATCACCGTCCCAGACAACAGCCATCTGCACAACCAGGAAGGGAGTCTAGTCACCAGCGGAGCAGGAAGTGAAGAGAGCAAGCAGAGGAAATATTCGCCCCTTTTTTTAAAGGGAGAGAGACCACGCCCCAATGGGCTGGTATCACAGCAGCTATTGGTTGGAGGGGCGGAAGGACCTCCCGCAACACCCCCCCTTCCTTTTTTATAGTATGGGGGATCAAACCAATGTCCTTACAATT